GGTGGTGGCGAAGAGTCGTGTGGATATTTGGTAGAGCTTGCACTGCCCCCCCACAAAGTGGGGGTATTGGCTGGCGTCGCATGAAAACCCTGGCACTGGTGAGAACACTGAGCGTTCGGGTAAAGTGATTGTTGTTGTTGTTGTTGTTGTTGAACATTATTACTTCTAAGAATAATTATTGTTGGGGCCCCTGGTGCGCGACCCCCCCGCCGCGCCTAGGCCGCAGCCTCATTTTCATCATTTTCGTGAGGAAGTCTCAGGCAAAACGGGTTGGTCCGGATCCGGTTGTGTTGTTACGATCGGTTTTCCCTTGCAAAAAATAAGCTAAAAAGTGGACATTTCTTGTTCTAATATAACCAAACTTCAAGAATCCCTTGCAAAAAATAAGGTAAAGTGGACATTCGCGCGCGCAAGACGAAATCCTTCCAAAACCTTAGTTTTCGTAGCGATTTTAACATAAAAACATCAAAAAACCAATGGTTTTTCAAAAAAAAATTGTCAAAATTTCATCCCGCGCGCTCTTGCGGATTCGTAGGAAACCCAACACTTTTTAAACATTTCTGTCAAACGGGCTTTTGCGAGCAACTTTTTCGAACTTCTGCAACAACGGTTGCGCACCTGCCAGGGCCATCATCCCTGTCAAATAATACCATGCGGGACACATTCGTTTTTTCTTCGCGCGCGCACGCCGTCGTCGTCGGCCGCGGGGCCCTGAATAGTAGCCACGGTCGTCCGCATGCCACGAAGTGAAGTGTCCGAACGTCATAGGGCGGGAAGCTGGGTGTGGGTGGTGGCGAAGAGTCGTTTGGAAATTTGGTAGAGCTTGAACCGGCCCCCCCACAAAGTGGGGGTATTGCCCGCCTCCTATGAAAACCCTGGCACTGGTGAGAACGGTGTGTCCCCACGTGCTAGTAATTGTTGTTGTTGTTGTTGTTGTTGTTGTTGTTGTTGTTGTTGTTGGGGGGGAGCCTGGTAGCGCTCCCCCAAACCGCTGGAGCGTGAGCCTCATTTCGATGAAAATGCTGCCGGCGCCGAGACGAGAGCGCCAGATCGCCTGGGGGGTGTCCAAGAACACATAGCTTTTGCGTAGTATTTACCATTGGCCAATAATTGTAAGACTGTTCGCTCTCATCTGCTCGAGTGTCATTCAATGTGTATTTCCACAAAAACCTCGATACCCGCCCCCTTCGTCTTCGATCCTATCCCTTTTGGGGGGCGTATCTTTTTCTCTGCAGGCCAGGCCCCAGCAAGCGGCGGGGCGGCCGCGGACCGTCGGCCTGGCCAGCGGCGGCGCTGATCAGCGGCAACCCGACCCCAAGAGGGACGGACAGGGGACCGACCGCGACGACCACGAAGACGACGACGACGACGACGACAACGACGACGGCGGCGGCGGCGACGAGCGGAAGCGAGAGCGAGAGCGACAGCGGGGCCAAGAAGGGCAGGAAGGGGGCCACGAAAGGCGGCGGCGGGGCCACGAAGGTCATACGTCTGGGGCAACGAAGGGCGCGAACGCGCGGGGGCCACGAGGGGCAGATAATGCGGGGCCACACGGGGCAACGACGGGGCCACTGACTGTAGCAAAGGGGCCGCGTAGGACAGCGAGGGGGGCGCGACGGGCGACAACGGGGCCACGAAGGGCACGCATATGGGTTCACGACGGGCGCGAAAGAGTGGGGGCCACGAAGGGCATGCGTATATTGGGCCGCGCAGGGCAAGGGCGGGGCCACTGAGGGCAGCAACGGGGCCACGAAGGGCAGCGAGGAGTCCACGAAGGGCGACAGCGGGGCGACGAAACGCATGCATATGGGGGCACGTCGGGCGCGAACGAGCGGGGGCCACGAAGGGCATGCATACATGGGGCCACGAAAAAAACAGCGATGGGGGCAACGAAGGCCTGCAACGGGGCCACGAAGGGCAGCCATGGGGGCTACGAGGGACAGCGAGGTGACCACGAAGGGCAGCGAGGGGGCCACGAAGGGGCCACGAAGAGCAACGATGGGGCCACGAAAGGCAGCGAGGGCGCCGCGAAGGGCTGCAGCGGGTCCGCGACGGGCAGCGAGGGCGCCACGACGAACTGCAACGGGGCCACGAAGGGCAAAGAGGGGGCCACGAGAGGCTGCAACGGGCCCGCGAAGGGCAGCGAGGGCCACGAAGGGCAAAGAGGGGGCCACGAGGGGCAGCGAGGGGGCCACGACGAACTGCAACGGGGCCGCGAAGGGCAGCGAGGGGGCCACGAAGGGCTGCAAAGGGGCCACGAAGGGCTGCAAAGGGGCCACGAAGGGCTACAAAGGGGCCACGAAGGGCAGCGAGGGAGCCGCGAAGTGCAGCGAGGGGGCCACGAAGGGCCGCAACGGGTCCAGGAAGGACAGAAAGGGGGCCACGAAGGGCTGCAACGGGGCCACGAAGTGCAGCAAGGGGGCCACGAAGGGCCGCAGCGGGTTCACGAATGGCAGCAAGGGGGCCACGAAGGGCTGCAACGGGGCAGCGAAGGGTAGCGAGATCCCGGTATCTCAGTAGGCACTGAGGGAGGCTTTAGCGTGACCGCAACTCCTGGGCGCGCGAGTGTTGGGAGCGCGGCGCTTGATGAATTGGTAAAGGATTCCAGCGCAAGGGGGCGATTCTTGAGCAAGATGCTATCTCATCTCCAGCGAAAGCGCGACCCCAGAGCGCCGAGACAGCGATTCCTGAGTTAACTGTGAGAAAATCCTACGCGAGAGCGCGATTCGCGAGTACAACGAAAGGAAGTATCAACCGGCAGCGGGGGTCCTGACTAAAATGTGAGGGAGTCTCAGGCGGGAGCCATTGTTGTCGTAACCAGGGGGCCAACAACTCATTTTGAGCCCCTGACTTCCCCTAGTTAAGAAACTGGGTGCGAGCCCCGGGGGAAGCACTTCAATGGAAAAAGCAGAATGGCCAACGGAAGAGAAGACCAACCATAATCATCCTCCAGTAGTGAGAGTTCAACAACAACCAGTTTAAGAATATTCGCCCTTATCTGCTGAAGCGCCATCCAACGTGTATTTCCGAAAAACCTTCGATACCCGCCCTCTGCGCCGTCGGTCGTGCTCATTTGGGGAATACATTTCTCCCCTGAAAGGCGGGCCCTGGCAATCGGCGGGGCGGCCGCGGACCGTCGGCCTGGCCAGCGGCAGCGCTTGTCGGCAGCAACCCGACCCCAAGAGAAACAGACAGGGGACCGACCACCACGACGACGACTACGACGACGACGACGAGCAAAAGCGAAAGCGACAGCCACAGCGGGACCACGAAGGTCAGCGATGGGGCCACGGAGCGGCAGGAAGGGTGCCAGAAAGGGTGAACGCGGGGCCACGAAGGGCATGCGCATGGGGCTACGAAGGGCGCCGCATCGGGACCACAGAGGGCAGCGACGGGCCCGCCGAGGGTAGTGACGAAGCCACGTGGGACAGCGATGGGGGCCGCAAAGGGCGACAGCGGGGCCGCGAAAGGCATGCAGAAGGCGCCGTGACGGGCGCGAACGAGCGGGGGCCAGGGCATGCGTTTATTGGACCGCAGAGGGCACTGACGGGGGCGCTGAGGGCAGCAACGGGGCCACGAAGGGCTGCAACGGGGCCGCGAAAAGGCTGCAACGGGGCCACGAGGGGCAGCGATGGGGGCAAAGAAGGGCTGCAACGTGGCCACGAAGGGCAGCGAGGAGGTCGCGAAAGGTTACAACGAGGCAGCGAAGGGCAGCGAGGGTGCCACGAAGGACTGCAACGAGGCAGCGGAGGGCAGCGAGGAGGCCGCGAAAGGTGGCAACAAGGCAACGAAGGCCAGCGCGGGGGCCACGAAGGGCTGCAACGGGGCCACGAGGGGCAGCGAGAGCCCGATATGTAAGTTAGCAAGGAAGGAGGCCTCAGCGTGAGCGCGAATCCTGGGTGCCAGAGTGTCTGGGGTGCGCCGCATGAGTAAAAAGAAAATGCTCCTACGCAAGGGCGATATTCTCAGCGGATTTGGAGCAAATCTTCAGCCAGAGCGAAACTCCAGAGCGCAGGGGGAGCGATACTCAATTAAATTGCATTGGCGTCCCACGCGACAGCGCGACCCCTGAATAAAATGCGGGGGGGTCTCAGGCGGGGGTCCTTGCTAAAGTGTGAGGGGGTTTCAGCCGGGAGCCGCTGCTGAGTCCTCCTTTCTGCAGAATTACTGTTATTGATCCCCCCCACAGGTGCATGCTATTTTTTCTTAATCGATATGTGCTCCTCGACGCTCGCATCTGGTTTTTTTGACAGGGAATGGCTCGATGCTCAAACCAAACCCCTGGCCCCCGGGTTACAACAGCAACGGCCCCCGCCTGAGACTTCCTAACAATTTAGCCAGGGCCCCCGCTCCCGCCCGAGACTTCCTCGCATTGCATTCAGGAATCGCTTTCCCGGCGCTCTGGAGTCGCGCTCTCTCTGGAGACTTGCTTGCAACTTACTGAAGAATGGCCTTGCGTTGGAATTTCGTGCAATTTGCCCAAGCGCCGCGCTCCCGACACCCAGGCGCCCAGGAGTCGCGCCCGTTGTGGCCCCATGTGCGTGCCCTCCGCGGCCCCGCTGTCGCAATTTGTGCACCCCTCGCTGTCCCCCGCCCCCCGTGGAGCGGGGGCGGAGCATCTAAGAAAGAACGCCGCATTCTGTTGGACGCGTCGGCGTGGGCCCGGGGCGTCATCTACGTCCTTGCGGGCTTCGCAGCGGGGGCCACGAAGGCGTCGGCGGCGTCCCCAGTACGTGTCAGTAGCCCCCCGGTTGGCCCATCAGCTCACGCGTCGCACGCTGCCTGTAAACGGGCAGTGGCGCAAGCCGCGCGGGCGGACCGCCATCGCGCCTTTCAGCGTTTCTCTGACCTTCGTGCCCAAAATCCAAGCCTGGCGGAGCGCTTCCTTTCTGAGTGCTTCCGGTCCCAGAATGCCTTTCAGGTTGCTCTCGTCGACCAGGTCGACGGGCGCCCCCTCGATGTGGAGGAATCGCTCGCGCTCTTGCAATCTGACTCGACAGGCCGAGTGCACAACGACTGCGATTTCGACGCGGCGGAGCAGCAAGCGCAGGCCCGCGCGGTCTCGGCCATCAGGTCGATGGGCGGGGGGCCAGTGCACGCGCGCATTGGTCCGTACTCAGTCGAAGAGGTGGGCGCGGTGTTGGACATTTTTTTTTATATAAAAAAAAAAAAAAAAAAAAAAACATGGCTGCTTCGCAGCTGTCCGATCTGCGGTTCCTTCGGGCCGCCGGGTCACGCGTGCCCTCGCTAATTGTTCCAGGCGTTGCGCGCTCATGAGCACCCTGCGGTCGGCTTGCCAGGTCACGCCCCTCCATCAGTCGGGGCCCCGCGTTGTTCGGTCAACCGTATGCCCCCGGCCGATTTCTATCTCGGCGGTCATGACATCCGTTGTGGAGCAACGCGCCTTCGCTTGAGAAGTGCTGCGGGGTTGCGCAAGAGGGCGGCGTGGGGGACCCGATCTCACTCCTCCTCTCCCGTCTCCTCCACGCTCAACTTCGTAGCGCCCAAGGTCTTGCCACTCATTGGGCAGTTACGGACCTCCAGTGGGCCTTTGATGTGGCGTCTCATCTCGCCATGCTGCTCAATGCTTATGAGGCGGGGGTGCGCGGTGACGACTGGCTTCAGCTGGATGATTTCGTGTCGTCTGACGCGCAGTGCATCGCGCTCCGTGGCCACGTCTCGTCCTTATTTTCCTTTGGTGGTGGAACAGCCCAGGGGCGTTGATTCAGTGTTGGCGTTTTCAATGCGCAGCTTAAGTGGCTGGCTGATAAGGTAGATCGTGTACTCCCAGGTAGCTGCGCTGCTTGGGTGGGGCCCCACCTCCGCCACCACTGCTGGGGCATCAGTGTCCCCGAGCCCGCCTGCAATGGCGCGCCCGCCCCGCCGGCGTCCGCGGCCGCGGCGGAGCAGGCGCCCTGCCCAGGGGCTGAGCGTGCGCTTCGCTGCGGGGCCACGCGTGTTGCCACAGAGGCTGACAAGGCCTGTCTGCTTGACCGGCTGGACTCGGCCCTTCCCCCCCCGTTGCAGTTTGTGGATGACTCGACGGTCGCAACCTCCTCGCCAGGTGCTCTCCGCGCAATTGTATCGCGTGAGCCTTGGTCGGCCTGCTCCCAGTATGCGAGACGTACCCGTTCTCAGTTTAATTACAAAGCAGGGAAAACAGCTGCCATGGCGATCCTCGACAGCCCTCCTCCAGGAGACGTCGGCTGCCCAGTTGTAAGATTGAAGGCCGCGCGGGGTTTTTTTGATTCACAACTCTCGTTTGGTCCATTGCTGAAGGCGACAGTGCCCAGAGGGAGCGAGTTGTTCGAAACTTTTTTTCTTGTTTGTTATTTGTTTGTTCTTTCGTTCTTTCTTTCTTTCTTTTTCTGCAGGTGAGACAGGAGGCTTTGGGCCCCCAACCCTGCGTGTACAGGTGCCGCTGCGTGTAGAGTCTGCTCTGCTTTATCCCGCCCCCTTCCTCTTTCTCGCTCGCCGTGCTCGCTTTTCCCTCGACTACATGCTAGCGGGGTGGGCCCGCCGTTTGCTCGGTTGTGCTACTGGCCTGCCGCCCCCTGGCCCGGTAGTCATTGCGCAGCGTGGTTGGCACGCGCGCCTTGGCACCAAAATGGTTGAGCGCACTATCCTCGCGCGCGCAAGTCTCTCCCTCTTACCTGGTGAGCATCCTGGGGCTACCATGCGCCAGGTGGCTGAGAGCACGTGCTGCTCCTCGTGGGCGTGAGCCGTGCGGGCGTCGATGAATTCCGTAGACCCTCCACTCCCTGACGTAGTTGAGTGGGCCTTTGCTGGGCAGCAAGCTTGCCGAACGCTCGGACAGATCCAGCGCCTCGGCGGCAGCTGTGGCGCAGTTGCAAATTTTACGTGGTCCGCCCTGCCCTACTCCAGCTTGACCAGCTTGCGTTCCAGCAGGCAGCAGCTGCTTCACTGCCAGTTTTCTGCCTGCCGTTCTCGGCGTGGCTGTCTGGGCCGCCTGGTCTCCAGTGGAATTTGTTGGACTTGGAGCTTGGCCCAGGCTCCTGGCTTCAGTTTCGCTTGTGGGCGGTCGTGCGGATGACGGGGTGCTGGCCGCTCCAGGTCCTCGGGGCCCCACTCTGCGTCCCCACGATGCCGCGGTGTGCTGGTTGAAGCGCTGGACGTTGACGTCTGGCACGCTCTTTTCGTTTGCCCCGCGGCGGCAGCCCTTAGGACCTCCATCTGGTCTCGCCTTCCTCTGCCCAGGTCTCCCAGTTCCTTTTTCACCAGTCCCGGCCGCCGGCGGAACGCCGCGAGTGCGCGCGCTTCGTCGCCGCTGCAGCGCTACTGGCCGTCACAGGCACTAGTCAAGTTTAATGCGGCGCGCCCGCTTGTATGGAGCATGGCCGGGGGGGTCGCCGGAGCTGGCCGGCGCCGTCGTGGCCTGCTTTGGGAGACTGACTGCTTGCCTTGCGCCCTTTCCTGGGAAAAACTTGGGTCGCCTTCCTTTCTGCCCCGCGTCGCCTTCTCCCCCCCCCCCTCCCCTCTCCATCTTCCCTCCCCCTTCCCTTTGTCCGTTTCCCCTCCCCCCCCCTCTCCCCCCCCCCTCCCCCTTCCCTGCCCCTCCCTCCGTTAGTGCCTATCTTCTTCTTCCAGCTGCCCCTCTCTGTAGCTGGCCCTCATTACTTCGTATGCTTACATATTTGAGTGTTTGCTGCCATCGGTCCCTTCGCTTGCAGTGTTTGTGCTGTTTGTCTTTGCGCTTTCTTTTTGTTCCCGCGTTTCCACCGTTTGTTTTCTTGCTCATGCGTCACAGTCGTGATGCGGTCGTCGTGGTTGGCTATCTTGCACCGCTCGCAGGTTGCATTGTGCTGGGTCCATGCCACATGTCCTATCCGATGCCTCTGCTTTGCTCTCTTTTTGTTGTTTGCTTTTGCACTCTGTTGTCCTCGTTCGCCTTCTTGTTGTTTGTCATGCTCTCCACTCTCTTTGCTGGCCGCGCGCGCGGGGCCAACCTCCACGCGCCCCCCTTGGGATGGGAGGGCCAGCCGCTCGCTTTTTCGAGGGCTGGCGCCGCCGTCTCGGGGCGCACGTGGGAGGGTGGATCGGGCGGGGCTGCGAGTATTCATCTCCCCGCGGGGGGCCCTGCGAAGGGCGGTGAAAGACCCGGCCCTAGACGGGGGCACCCTGCGCCCCGTCTCGCCCGCCTCTCTCTGGGGGGCGCGCCGGGGCCGGGCGCGCGGCGCGCGGCGGGCGCCCGACCTGCGGCCGCCGATGCGGAGGCCGCAAAAAATGGATCCCGCACGCGGGGGCGCGACGGGGCGCCCGTGAGGGCCCGCCTCGTGGAGGGGCGTCGCAACCGCCCCCCTGATGAAACGGCGGGGAGCATGCGCAATGTTGGCAAGATGGAAAGCCGAGGGCGCAGTCTTTCTTACCGGCGCCGGCGATGGGGCAGGAGCACAACCCTGCAGCGCCCGCGCGTCCTTCAAGGCCGTGGCACGTCCCAAGGGGCGTTGCTCACTCCCCAACCACAGCGTGACCGTCGTGCGCAGGCTCTCCAAGTGCGCCGCCCCAGGTTTCGCCGGGCCCCCAGCCGCCAAGACAGGTCGCGACAAAAAGATTTGCGATCGCTACTTACGTCCACACCTCACCTCTCGCACACCTAGCCAGAAGACAAAGGGCGGCCAAAGGGCGCAGCACCGCCCGCGCAAACCGGGGGACACACGGGGGCCCCCCACGACCGCGAGAGCCGCGGGGGCCGGCCGCATCACCACCGTGAGTCAGGTCAGTGGCGCGCGCGAGGGAGCAGCACCACCACAGAGAAGCAGGACAAAGGCACGCGCCGGCACCGGCGACGCTGACGAGGACAGGCGGTCGCAGTACCACGGCGGCACACGGCGCGACGGCACCGCCCCGCGTCGGTCAAGCACGATTAGCTTCTGAAACCCCGCGGCGTGGAAACTCGTGTCACCACATTCGGAAGTGCCCGCTAAACGACCCTCTGCGTGAACCCCCACGTCCGCCCACCCCTCAGCACGTTTGCTTCGCCTCGAAATCCCACGGGGGGCACAGATCAGCCAAGACACACGGGCATGAACAAGGCAAGGATGCTCACACATGCTACGTTTACTCTGTGTTCGATCAGACGATGCCCCCTACCCGTGCAAGGCCAGGCTCTGATCGACAGCCCCTCCGCAGAGCGCTGACAGCATTGCTAAGATTCCGCCCGACCAGCAGGCGCGCACCCTGGCGCGCAACAGGTGGACAGACGAGGCTGCATCAACACAGGGTAGCAACATTCTTGTAGACAGCGCGCGCTGGCAGGGGGCCGCACCACTGCGAGGCAGGACCTGCGCACGCACGCTCTGTGACAGCCTCTTCTGCGCATGGGGCCGCAACGCGATGGCGACGCCGACGCCGACGCTACGACGACGACGACGACGACGACGACGACAACGACGACGCCAATCGGCGGCCTTCAACGGGCGACGCCCCCTACCAGTGCAGCACCGCGCACCAGTCGACAGCCCCCCCTAGAGCGGCCATGCCCATGCTACAATGAAAAATACACGACGAAGGCCCCTGGAGCACGACATGTGGACAACGGGGCCGCAGCATCACTGCGAGGCAGGATTCTCGTTGACAGCGAGCGCAAGGAGGGGGCCGCATCGCGACTGCGAGGCAGGTAAGCACGCACGCTGCGTGCACAGAGGGGGCCGCATCGCCACTGTGAGGCTGGGCGCGCGCACGCATTCACAGCTTCGGCCTCCTGCGCGCTCGAGCACGCAGAAAGGGGAGGCCACGACGGCGACGACGACGCGCCGTCGACAGGGGGTCGGGTCGCTACCGCGATGCGGGATGGGAAGCCTGAAAGAAAAAACAAGGCGCGCATACACGTGGACTTGCGAACTGTCGCCTTATCACCCCCCCCGACCGCACTGCACCGACAACAACGAAGTGAGGCTGCAGCTCCACGTGAGGCAGGATGGGGGGCGCAGGATTAAGTACCGAGGCAGGAGCGCACAAAGATAAGCAGGTGGTCGACCCACCATCCCGTGAACCCCTTTCTGTCGACACTGCCTGTTGCAGTCATGGTGTTCGCAGCGCCCCTCGAGAGACAGATGGGCGAGGCGCAGCGCGGGGCCCCCCGTCTAGGGTCGGGTCTCCCACCGGTCTTCGCGAGGCACCCCGTGGGGGCACAGAGAGCTCGCAGCCCACGCGGGCCCACCCACCCTGGCGCGACCCTGGGCGACGTTGCCTGCCGTCACACAGGGCAAGGCCCCCCAGCTCAGTGGAGACGCAAGGGTGGTGGCCCTGCGCGCGCGGCCAGCGCGTGAAAGCATCGGAAGCACAGGCCAAACGACCAAAACACGACACGGCGAACATATGGAGACGAGAAGGCACATAACTTGAGGAGCAACCCTCGCTGGCACAGAACAAGAAAGCCACTGGATTGGACAAGTGGGACAAAAACGGGAAGACAATGGCAGCAAGGCGGCCGTAGCGATGGAGACAAAAGCGCGCGATGCGATCACCCCGCCCAGGCCCTGTCAAGCAGTGCGTTGCCAAGCAGCGCCAAGAGGCGGCAAACGTGCAAGCGAGCAGTGCCAGAGCAAGCAGTGTTCAAATACGACAGGGCGGCGTGTAGCGCCAGGCCCCGCGCGCTCCGCGAGGCGGGAAAAAGCAACTGTACACAAAGGAGACGCGCGTGCTCGTGCGGGGGCGGCGAACGCGACCGCGCGCGACGGAAATCCCACCAGCCCTCTGGGCGTCGGTGGTTTAAAGCGTTTCCTCTTCCACCCCTCCTTCTTCCCCTTCGGGGAGGGGTTTACCCACCCCTACCCCCCCCCCCCCCCCCACTGACCTGGACAGGGGGGCCGCGATCGGTCAGAGCGTCCAAGATCGACCCCTGGGAGGGCTAAAATTCGGCACCCCCCACGAGGATCGGGGCTCCTGAGGGGGGGGGGGGGGGGGGGGGGGGGGGGCTGAAATTTAGAACTCCCCTTCGTTGATCGATCTCCTCCAAGATGGCTCCGAGAGACGCGTTGGGCCCCCCCTCGGGCCCCGCGCGCGGGCGGGCGGGGCGCCGCCCGCCCGCCCGCAAGGCCCGAGAGCCCACCAAAACGTTCGAAGACACTTCCAATACGCCACCAGGGAGGAGGAAGAGGCGGAGGAGGAGGAGGAGGAGGGGGAGGAGGAGGAGGAGGAGAGGGAGGAGGAGGAGAGGAGGAGGAGGAAAAGGCGGAGGAGAAGGAGGAAGAGGGGAGGAGAACAGCTGCCGATCATCGGCGCTCTTCGTTCGAGTGCCTGGTGTAGGATGGGCTGGTGGGGATGCGCGAAGCGTCGAGAATTCCCTTGCGCCCCCCCTGCGTTGACAGCGCTACCAGACATTACACAGAAGAGGAATTACAAGAGACTTCGTGGCACACAGAAGAATATTGATAAAAAAGCAACGCCCTTTGGGTTGCGCCCCTCGCGCGCGGCGACAGCTCCGAGCTGAAATGGAGGGGGGGGGGGGCCGGGACAAGGCAAAGCAGGGGAAAAGGAGACAAAAAAGGAGGGCGAGAAAGAAGCGAAGGGAGCAACGGAAGGAAGCCAGGATGTGCGCACGCGAAGCTAACACTGCGCGCCGAGACAGCTGTTCGTTCGTTCGGTTAGCCGTGCGGCGGACGAATAGAAACATACTTGATTGCTGCCTATCGAAGGGACCTCTTGGGAAAGAGACTCGCGCTCTCTTCCCGACCCCCTTTCCCACCCCGTTGCGAGCGCGCGACGATTTGTTCTGGCCCGCGGGCAGAAGACTGCCAATTGCTGGCGAGCGGCCACTCCACCCGCCACGTGTTCCGAACACATGCGACCAGCTAAACGCACTTGCCGCGCACACCGCCAGCTCCAAACACCAGCGCCACCCCGATCCCCACATCCGTGCCAGGCACCCTCTCAACGACGCCCCCTTCCGGCGTAAAACTAATGAAACCCTTTGTTGTGTTTATGTGTTTTTTCCCTGTTCTGAGCAACGACGCGCCGCTGGCGCTGCGCCGCGAGGCGCGGGCAAGCGGAACAGCACACGTCGCGCGAACGACGACGCGTGAGCAGAAGCAAACGTGCACATGCACGCTGGCCGCCGAATAAATGAGACCAAACAATCCATCTGAGCATGCCGCGAGAATGAACGCGAACAAACCAAACAAACAGCAGAAGCAACATGCGGACTATCGTTTTGGCGCAACCACGGGAGGCCCCCCCCCGCGCCACGCACGCATGCACACGAAGCCTGCACCACAGCGGTAAACAGCTAGAATCAGACAGATCTAAACTATTTGAGTAGCGCACGGCATACGCATGCCCTCCAACATGTGGGACAACTCTCGCCGGGGAGACGTCGTAGCAGGGTTCGGGGGACTCGGGTTGGCCTGACGGGGCCATCGTGAAAATGACGAGACCCAATCTGAAATTTGACGCGACCTCCCGCTGCAGACATGCCACGGAGACCGGGCCGTCAAAAAATCCGGAACGGACTCGTCGAAAAGCGGCAGCGAACCCGAGTTCCGGCGCACTCGATCCCACAAATGCGACGCCCTGATTTTTTCAATGCGGGGCCCCTGGAAGTCCCGACCCTTTCCCCGAGACTGGTTCCTCATCCTCGATTAATTGTTAAAGGCCCCGAAGCCCGGCGAGGGCCCCCAGGGGCCGAACGCTGCCACAAGCATCCCGCCCTGATCTTTTCACGGCGCGATCACGTCTGGGATTATGTCGGGCGCGCCCCCTACAGGTAAATTCTTCAACGGAAAAAAAAACAAATGCCTCAAAAGTGCAACAAAAAGGTTAAACAATAAACACAAAGTAACCCCCGACCATTTTGGCATTACTTTTTTAATTATTTTTGGAGCGTTTCTTCTTTTTCGTCGAAAGTCCTCCTGTAGGGGGACAGGCCCGACTGAAGTCTGGGCCTGTCTCGCTCTCCCCCGACCCCGCAGCGTGGGGGGAGCCTCGGCTCGGACGCCGCCTGCCAGCGGCCGCCCGGCCTCGCGGGGAAGCATCCGCACAAGGTAATTTTGGGGTGCGGGCCGGGCGCCTCGAGCCGGAGTGCAGTGCGGGCGCGGCCGCAGGCTGGGTAGTCGAAGCCAGTCTGGCGCCAATCTGGCAGGCCCAATCTGGCAAACGGGGGCAATCTGGCGAGGGGGCCCACGCGAATCCAGTCTGGCGAACAACCCCAGTCCTCCAGTTTGGCCGGGCCAGATTGGCCCTGGGCCCAATCCAATCTGACAGTCTGGCCTTCGACTACCCAGGCAGGAGACCATCGCAACGCGTCCCAACCCTGAAGACCCGCGCGCGCGGTGCACCTGAGGGGAAACCCAGAGCGCCCTGAAGGCAGCAGCGTCTTCGACGGCTGCGGGAAGTCACCGCGCGGCGCGCGGAGCGAGGAAACCCGGGATACCCTGACGAAAAGCATGTGGTTTCTTCATGCGCGCCCCCACTGTATGGTGCTGCAGCCTCTCCCGCACTCAGGCCCGCAGGCAGGCAGGCGTGAGCTGGGTCGAGTTCGTATTCGGCCGCCGCTGGCAGAGAAACGCCGCTTATGGGTGGCAAACCTCTTGGTACAGTGGTGTCTTCATTTTTGGCGGAGGTGCTGACTTTGGAGTGGGCGCGCTGGAGGCACTTGTTGTCTGCGATGCTCGGGGTCAGTGCGCAGTAGTGCCAGTTGCAGTGGGCTGGTCTTCTTTTCCCTTTGCCATGGCTGTCCGCATGTCGACATTGGCCAACGCTGACAGAACGACATTCCCATGCTTTCCTGAGGGGGTTCTCTGGGCGCCTCCGACTGGCGCTCGTCGGCCTCGTTTGCGGCATCTTCGCGCGAGCGAGCGTCCACCTTGTCTTGGAAACTCTTGATATTATAATAAAAAAGAGGGGGTCTGGACCCTCCAAGACAAGCCATTTCAGACGCCCCCCCGTGGGGGAACCCTCCAAAACATCGCCCCCAGACCCCCCGGGCCCTCCAAGATAGCCTGGAAGAGACCCCCCTCCCTTTATTACGAAATCTGGAGTACATCGTCTTCGACCCCCGGCAGCGGTTGTTTTCTCCGGGGGGGCGATGGGGGGCTGGGCAGCGGCAGCGCGCGGGCGAGATGGGGGGCAAGTCGGGGGAAGGTCGGGTCGGGCGAAAGGGGGGGATAGTAAAGGGGGGGCTTGAGTAGCTGATTTTCCCGGCGCCATCCGGCGCCGGAGGCGGCTATGCATTGAGGAATGGGCCCCTCGGTGAGACCGAAACCAGCTGCACGCAGCAAATTTCGTAACCCCCCCTTTCCCAATCCCCCCCTTTCGTCCGGCCCGAGAGGGGGGGCTGGGCAGCAGCAGCGCGGGGGCGAGATGCGGGGCCAGTCGGGGGAGGGACGAGCTGCGATATCGCTCGTCTGCGCGCGAGCACCCGCGCTGGGGGGGGAGGTCCCCGGACCATCCCAGGGTCGAACCTGACAGCTCCCGGCGCCGCGCCAGGCCGCGGCGACAAGAGATGCCCTCAGAGGCGCTCCCGAGCGCTCCCAGGCGCTCCCAGGCGCTCCCAGGCGCTCCCAAGCGCTCCCAGGCGCTCCCAGGCCCTCCCAGGCGCTCCCAAGCCCTCCCAAGCGCTCCCATGCGCTCCCAAGCGCTCCCAAAGCGCTCCCATGCGCTCCCGGGCGCTCCCAAGCGCTCCCGAAGCGCTCCCAGGCGCTCCCAGGCGCTACCAGGCGCTCCCGAGCGCTCCCGAGGCGTTCCCAGGCGCTCCCAGGCGCTCCCAGGCGCTCCCAGGCGCTCCCAAGCGCTTCCAGGCGCTCCCCGGCGCCATCCCAGGCGCCCGTTTTTCCGTCCTCATTAGACAGTGTCGTTTTCCCGTGTGTTTGTCTTCGATCCGCCTCTCACGCAGTGCGACGTCGAAGCGAACGCGGCCCACGAACTCGCCCAATTACCGTTCAGGCCCACCCCTGACCCTCGGCCTTCCTTTTCGCCGGGTTCCCGTCGGATGGCGTCGGAATTCCATCGCTCGGCAGCCGCTCCCTGCTTTTTTATAGCGGTTTCGCGCGTGGCTTTTCTCGCCAAGTGATCGAGGGTGCTCCTCGACGGTTCTCGCCGAGAAGCAATGCGCACGTCCGAGCGATGCCGGGGCGCCGGCTCCATGCCAACTTTCCGTCGGGGCTGCGCCGGAGCAGCGCCGCCCGGACGCCGCCCCAGATCTCACGGGGCAGGCGCGCGGGCGAGACGCTGCAACAGTGAAGGGGCCCTGGGACACACAAATAGATACGCACAAAGGAAAGGATTCCCAACATTCCCCCGTATGTTTTGGGTCTTCGTCTGCCCCCCCCCCACTTCCCATATTTTCCCACATTTTCCCATCGATGTTTTTGTTCCCTCTTCTACGAAGCTGGTGTGCATGACTCGCCGTTGACCGCGCCATGACTCTCCGCGTGCTGTCTTTATACGCAAGATCGGAGGTTGGGTGGTGAGTCCGACGTGAAACGAAGACCCCCCCTAACGGGAATTCGCCTTCGGTTTCGGTTTCGCGTCGCGCGTGCGGGCGCGCGCGCGGGCGCGCGCGCGGGCGAGGTGAAGCTGCGTGGGAGGGCGAGAGGAAATCCTCCAGTGGCTGGGCCGCGGCCAGACCAAATGTTGCTCCTCCGGCGGCCGGTGCCGCGCGGTGTCCCGCCGGTGTCCCGCTGGTGTCCCAAAATCCTCCCGTGGCTAGGCCACGGCCGGACCAAATGTTGCTCCTCCGGCGGCCGGCGCCGCGCGGTGCCCCGCCGGTGTCTCGTGGTGTCCCGAGGTGTCCCGTTCAATGAGATCGATCGTGAGATCGATAATGCGATCGATCCTGAGATCGATGTGGTGCCCCGAGGTGTCGAGTGGTGTCCCGTTGAGTGAGATCGATAGTGAGATCGATACTGAGATCGAGAGGTGTCCCGTGGTGTCCCGTTGAGTGAGATCGATAGTGAGATCGACACTGAGATCGATGTCGCGCCCAAAATCCAAGCCTGGTGGAGTGCTTCCTTTCTGAGTGCTTCCGGTCCCAGAATGCCTTTCATATTGCTCTCGTCGACCAGGTCGACGGGCGCTCCCTCGATGTGAAGGAATTGCTCGCGCTCTTGCAATCTGACTCGACAAGCCGAGTGCAGGCCGGAGCAGCAAGCGCAGGCCCGCGCGGTCTCGCCCATCAGGTCGATGGGCGGGGGGCCAGTGCACGCGCGCATTGGTCCGTACTCAGTCGAAGAGGTGGGCGCGGTGTTGGACAATTTAAAAAACGACATCCGCCGCGGTCCATGGCTGCTTCGCAGCTATCCGATCTGCGGTTCCTTCGGGCCGCCGGGTCACGCGCGCCCTCGCTAGTTGTTCCAGGCGTTGCGCGCTCATGAGCACCCTGCGGTCGGCTTGCCAGGTCACGCCCCTCCATCAGTCGGGGCCCCGCGTCGCTCGGTCAACCGTATGCCCCCGGCCGGTTTCTATCTCGGCGGTCATGACGTCCGTTGTGGAGCAACGCGCCTTCGCTTGAGAAGTGCTGCGGGGTTGCGCAAGAGGGCGGCGTGGGGGACCCGATCTCGCTCCTCCTCTCCCTTCTCCCCCACGCTCAACTTCGTAGCGCCCAAGGTCTTTCCACTAATTGGGCAGTTGCGGACCTCCAGTGGGCCTTTGATGTGGCGCCTCATCTCGCCATGCTGCTGAAGGCTTATGAGGCGGGGGTGCGCGGTGACGACTGGCTTCAGCTGGATGGTTTCGTGTCGTCTGACGCGCAGTACATCGCGCTCCGTGGCCACGTCTCGTCCTTATTTTCCTTTGTTGGTGGAACAGCCCAGGGGCGTAGATTCAGTGCTGGCGTTTTCAATGCGCAGCTTAAGTGGCTGGCTGACAAGGTAGATCGTGTACTCCCAGGTAGCTGTGCTGCTTGTGCTGCTTGGGTGGGACCCCACCTCCGACACCACTGCTGGGGCATCAGTGTCCCCGAGCCCGCCTGCAATGGCGCGCCCGCCCCGCCGGCGTCCGCGGCCGCTGCGGAGCAGGCGCCCTGCCCAGGGGCTGAGCGTGCGCTTCGCTGCGGGGCCACGCGTTGCCACAGAGGCTGACAAGGCCTGTCTGCTTGACCGGCTGGACTCGACCCTTCTCCCTCCGTTGCAGTGTGTGGGTGACTCGACGGTCGCAACCTCCTCGCCAGGTGCTCTCCGCGCAATTGTATCGCGTGAGCCTTGGTCGGCCTGCTCCCAGCATGCAAGCGTATCTGTTCTCAGTTTAATTACAAAGCAGGGAAAACAGCTGCCAGGGCGATCCTCGACAGCCCTCCTCCAGGAGACGTCGGCTGCCCTGTTGTAGACTTGAAGGCCGCGCGGGGTTTTTTTTGATTCACAACTCTCTCTCGTTTGGTCCATTGCTGACGGCGACAGTGTCCAGTGTCCAGAGGGAGCGAATTGTTGGAAACTTTTTTTTTTGTTTTTTTGTTTATTTATGTTTTTTTTTTTTTTTTTTTTTCTGCAGGTGAAACAGGAGGCTTTGGGCCCCCAATCCTATGTGTACAGGTGCCGCTGCGTGTTGAGTCTGCTCTGCTTTCTCCCGCCCCCTTCCTCTTTCTCGCTCGCCATGCTCGCTTTTCTCTCGACTACATGCAAGCGCGGTGAGCCCGCCGTTTGCTCGGTTGTGCTACTGGCCTGCCGCCCCCTGGCCCGGTAGTCATTGCGCAGTGTGGTTGGCACACGCGCCTTGGCACCAGAATGGTTGAGCGAACTATCCTCGCGCGCGCAAGTCTCTCCCTCTTACCTGGTGCGCATCCTGGGGTTACCATGCGTCAGGTGGCTGAGAGCACGTGCTGCTCATCGTGGGCGTGAGCCGTGCGGGCGTTGATAAATCCCGTAAACCCTCCACTCCCTGACGTAGTTGAGTGGACTCTTGCTGGGCAGCAAGCTTGCCAAACGCTCGGACAGATCCAGCGTCTCGCCGGCAGCTGTGGCGCAGTTGCAAATTTTACGTGGTCCGCCCTGCCCTACGCCAGCTTGACCAGCTTGTTCCAGCAGGCAGCAGCTGCTTCACTGCCAGTTTTCTGCCTGCCGTTCTCGGCGTGGCTGTCTGGGCCGCCTGGTCTCCAGTGGAATTTGTTGGACTTGGAGCTTGGCCCAAGCTCCTGGCTTCAGTTTCGCTTGTGGGCGGTCGTACGGATGACGGGGTGCTGGCCGCTCCAGGTCCTCGGGGCTTCACTCTGCGTCCCCACGCTGCCGCGGTGTGCTGGTTGCGAAGCGCTGGACGTTGACGTCTGGCACGCTCTTTTCGTTTGCCCCGCGGCGGCAGCCCTTAGGACCTCCATCAGGTCTCGCCTTCCTCTGCCTCCCTCCCCCCCCCCCCTGCCCAGGTCTCCCAGTACCTTTTTCACCAGTCCCGGCCGCCGGCGGAACGCCGCGAGCACGTGCACTTCGTCGCCGCTGCAGTGCTACTGGCCGCCACAGGCACTAGTCAATTTTAATGCGGTGCGCCCGCTTGTATGGAGCATGGCCGGGGGGGTTGCCGGAGCTGGCCGGCGCCGTCGTAGCCTGCTTTGGGAGACTGACTGCTTGCCTTGCGCCCTTTCCTGGGGCAAACTTTGGTCGCCTTCCTTTCTGCCCCACGTCGCCCTCTCCCCCTCCCCCTCCCCTCTCCATCTCCCCTCCCCCTTCCCTTTGTCCGCTTCCCCTCCCCCTTCGCTTGCAGTGTTTGTGCTGTTTGTCTTTGTGTTTTTTTTTTTTTTTGTTCATGCGTTTCCACCTCTTGTTTTCTTGCTCAAGCGTCACAGTCGTGATGCGGTCGTCGTGGTTGGCTATGTTGTACCGGTCACAGGTTGCATTGTACTGGGTCCATGCCACATGTCCTATCCGATGCCTCTGCTTTGCTCTCTTTTTGTTGTTTGCTTTTACACTCTGTTGTCCTCGTTCGCCTTCTTGTTGTTTGTCATGCTCTCCACTCTCTTTGCTGGCCGCACGCGCGGGGCCAACATCCACGCGTCGCCCTTGGGATGGGAGGGCCAGCCGCTCGCTTTTTCGAGGGCTGGTGCCGCCATCTCAGGGTGCACGTGGGAGGGTGGATCGGGTGGGGCTGCGAGTATTCATCTCCCCACGGGGGGCCCTACGAAGGGCGGTGAAAGACCCGACCCTAGACGGGGGCACCCTGCGTCCCGTCTCGCCCGCCTCTCTTGGGGGGCGCGCTGGGGCCGGGCGCGCGGCGCGCGGCGGGCGCCCGACCTGTGGCCGCCGACGCGGAGGCCACAAAAAATGAGCCCCGCACGTGGGGACGCGATGGGGCGCCCGTGTGGGCTCGCCTCGTGGAGGGGCGTCGCAACCGCCTCCCTGATGAAACGGCGGGGAGTATGCGCAATGTTGGCAAGATGGAAAGCCGAGGGCGCAGTCTTTCTTACCGGCGCCGGCGAGGGGCAGGAGCACAACCCTGCAGCGCCCGCGCGTCCTTCAAGGCCGTGGCACGTCCCAGAGGGCGTTGCTCAGTCCCCAACCACAGCGTGACCGCCGCGCGCAGGCTGACCATGAGTGCCGCCTCAGGTTTCGTCGGGCTCCCAGCAGTCAAGCACGCGGGGGCCCACCTGCGCGGGCCGGTAGTGGTCAGGCCTGAGCCAAAAGCAACGCGTAATCCAGCTGGGAGGCCCTGGTGACACCACGCCCCCAGGAAGCGCGCACGGAGCAGGCGCCGCGGGGCAGGGGGAGCAGAAGCGTCAAGAGGGAGGGGGTCAGGGCGAGGTCACTTCATGCGTGCAGGCCAGGAGGGGGTCGACACCAGATGGGGGGGACAAGCGCCGGCAATCCAGATCCATTTGCCTGCACAGCGAGAGCCCACAATGGAGGAACGCAGCGCCGGCAGGAGCGCGGCAGGCGGGCAGATGGGGCAACGACAGGTCCTGACAGGTCGCGACAAACAGATTTGCGATCGCTACTTACCTCCACACCTCACCTCTCGCACACCTAGCCAGAAGACAAAGGGCGGCCAAAGGGCGCAGCACCGCCCACGCAAACCGGGGGACACACGGGGGGGCCCCACGACCACAAGAGCCGCGGGGGCCGGCCGCATCACCACCGTGAGGCAGGTCAGTGGCGCGCGCGAGGGAGCAGCATCACCACAGAGAGGCAGGACAAAGGCACGCACCGGCACCGGCGACGCTGACGAGGACAGGTGGTCGCATTACCACGGCGGCACACGGCGCGACGGTACCACCCCGCGTCGGTGAAGCACGAGTAGCTTCTGAAGCCCCGCGGCGTAGAAACTCGTGTCGCCACTTTCGGAAGAGCCCGCTAAACGACACTTTGCGTGAACCCCCACGCCTGCCTACCCCTCAGCACGTTTGCTTCGCCTCGAAATCCCACGGGGAACACAGATCAGCCAAGACACACGAGCATGAACAAGGCAAGGATGCTCACACATGCTACGTTTACTCTGTGTTCGATGAGACGATGCCCCCTACCCGTGCAAGGCCAGGCGCTGATCGACAGCCCCTCCGCAGAGCGCTCAAAGCATTGCTAAGATTCCGCCCTACCAGTAGGTGCTCAGCCTGGCACGCAACAGGTGGACAGACGAGGCTGCATCAACACAGGGTAGCAACATTTTTGTAGACAGCGCGCGCCGACAGGGGACCGCACCACTGCGAGGCAGGACCTGCGCACGCACGCTCTGTGACAGCCTCTTCTGCACATGAGGCCGCCACGCGATGGCGACGCCGACGCCGACACGACGACGACGACGACGACGACGACGTCAATCGGCGGCCTTCAACGGGCGACGCCCCCTACCAGTGCAGCGCCGCGCACCAGTCGACAGCCCCCCCCTAGAGCGGCCATGCCCATGCTACAATGAAAAATACACGACGAAGGTCCCTGGAGCACGACATGTGGACAACGGGGCCGCAGCAGCACTGTGAGGCAGGATTCTCGTGGACAGCAAGCGCAAGGAGGGGGCCGCATCGCGACTGTGAGGCAGGTAAGCACGCACGCTGCGTGCACAGAGGGGGCCGCGTCGCCACTGCGAGGCTGGACGCACGTACGCATTCACAGCTCCGGCCTCCTGCGCGCTCGAGCCCGCCGAAAGGGGAGACCACGACGGCGACGACGACGCGCCGTCGACATGGGGTCGGGTCGCTACCGTGAGGCGGGATGGGAAGCCTGAAAGAAAAACAAGGCACGCATACACGTGGACTTGCGAACTGTCGCCTTCTCACCCCCCCTACCGCACTGCTCCGACAACAGCGAAGTGAGGCTGCAGCTCCACTTGAGGCAGGGTGGGTGGCACAGGATTAAGTACCGAGGCAGAAGCGCACAAAGATAAGCAGGTGGTCGACCCACCATCCCGTGAACCCCTTTCTGTCGACACTGCCTGTTGCAGTCATGGTGTTTGCAACGCCCCTCGAGAGACATATGGGCGAGGCGCAGCGCGGGGGGGGGGCGTCTAGGGTCGGGGCCTTCGTGAAGCACCCCGTGGGGGCACAGAGAGCTCGCAGCCCACGCGGGCCCACCCATCCTGGCGCGACCCTGGGCGACGTTGCCTGCCGTCACACAGGGCAAGGCTCCCCAGCGCAGTGGATACGCAAGGGTGGTGACCCTGCGCGCGCGGCCAGCGCGTGAAAGCATCGGAGGCACAGGCCAAACGACCAAAGCACGACACGGCAAACATATGGAGACGAGAAGGCACAGAACTTGAGGAGCAACCCTCGCTGGTACCAAACAAGAAAGCTACTGGATTGGACAAGTGGGACAAAAACGGTGAGACAATGACAGCAAGGCGGCCGTAGCGATGGAGACAAAAACGTGCGATACGATCATCCCGTCCAGGCCCTGTCAAGCAGTGCGTTGCCAAGCAGTACCAAGAGGCGGCAAACGTGCAAGCGAGCAGTGTCAGAGCAAACAATGTTCAAATACGACAGGGCGGCGTGTAGCGCCAGGCCCCGCGCGCTCCGCGAGGCGGGAAAAGCAGATGTACACAAAGGAGTCGCGCGTGCTCGTGTGGGGGCGGCGAAAGCGACCGCACACGAAGGACATCCCACCAGCCCTCTGGGCGTCGGTGGTTTAGAGCGTTTCCTCTTCCACCCCTCCTGCTTCCCCTTCGGGAGGGGTTTACCCCTTCCCCTACCCCCTCCCTACTGACCTGGACAGGGGGGCCGCGATCGGTCAGCGTCCAAAACCGACCCCTGGGAGGGCTAAAATTCGGCACCCCTCACGAGGATCGTGGCTCCTGACGGGAGAGGGGGGCTGAAATTTAGGAACCCCCCTTCGTTGATCGATCTCCTCCAAGATGGCTCCGAGAGACGTGGTGGACCCCCTTTGGGCCCTGCGCGCGGGCGGGCGGAGCGCCGCCCGCCCGCCCGCAAGGCCCAAGAGCCCACCAAAACGTTCGAAGACACTTCCAATACGCCACCAGGGAGGAGGAGGTGGAGGTGGAGGTGGAGGTGGAGGTGGAGGTGGAGGAGGAGGAGGAGGAGGAGGAGGAGGAGGAGGAGGAGGAGGAGGAGGAGGAGGAGGAGAGGGAGGAGGAGGAGAGGAGGAGGAGAAGGCGGAGGAGAAGGAGGAAGAGGGGAGGAGAACAGCTGCCGATCATCGGCGCTCTTCGTTCGAGTGCCTGGTGGGGATACGCGAAGTGTCAAGAATTCCTTTGTGTCCCCCCTGCGTTGGCAGTGTAACCAGACATTACACAAAAAAAGGAATTACACGAGACTTCGTGGCACACAAAAGAATTAAAACAACAACGCCCTTTGGGTTGCGCTCTTCGCGCGCGGTGACAGTTCCGAGCTGAAAAGGAAGGGGGGGCGGGACAAGGCAAAGCAGGGGAAGAGGAAAAAAAAGGAGGGCGATAAAGAAGCGAAGGAAGCAACGGAAGGAAGCCAGGATGTGCGCACGCGAAGCTAACACTGCGCGCCGAGACAGCTGTTCGTTCGTTCGGTTAGCCGTGCGGCGGACGAATAGAAACATATTTGATTGCTGCCTATCGAAGGGACCTCTTGGGAAAGAGACTCGCGCTCTCTTCCCAACCCCCTTTCCCACACCCCGTTGCGAGCGCGCGACGATTTGTTCTGGCCCACGGGCAGAAGACTGCCAATTGCTGGCGAGCGGCCACTCCACCCGTCACGTGTTCCGAACACATGCGACCAGCTAAACGCACTTGCCGCGCAAACCGCCAGCTCCAAACACCAACGCCACCCCGATCCCCACATCCGTGCCAGGCACCCTCTCAACGACGCCCCCTTCCGGCGTAAAACTAATAAAACCCTTTGTTGTGTTTATGTGTTTTTTTCCCTGTTCTGAGCAACGACGCGCCGCTGGCACTGCGCCGCGAGGTGCGGACAAGCGGAACAGCACACGTCGCGCGAACAACGACGCGTGAGCAGAAGCAAACGTGCACATGCACGCTGGCCGCCGAATAAATGAGACCAAACAATCCATCTGAGCATGCCGCGAGAATGAACGCGAACAAACCAAACAAACAGCAGAAGCAACATACGGACTATCGTTTTGGCGCAACCACGGGAGGCCCCCCCCGCACCACGCACGCATACACACGAAGCCTGCACCACAACGGTAAACAGCTAGAATCAGACAAATCAAAACGATTTGAGTAGCGCACGGCATACGCATGCCCTCCAACATGTGGGAAAACTCTCGCCGGGGAGACGTCATAACAGGGTTCGGGGGACTCGGGTTGGCCTGACGGGGCCATCGTGAAAATGACGAGACCCAATCTGAAATTTGACGCGACCTCCCGCTGCAGACATGCCACGGAGACCGGACCGTCAAAATATCTGGAACGGACTCGTCGAAAAGCGGCAGCGAACCCGAGTTCCGGCGTACTCTATCCCACAAATGCGACGTCCTGTTTTTTTCAGTGCGGGGCCCCTGGAAGTCCCGACCCTTTCCCCGAGACTGGTTTCTCATCCTCGATTAATTTTTCAATGCCCCGAAGCCCGGCGAGGGCCCCCAGGGGCCGAACACTGCCACAAGCCTCCCGTCCTGATCTTTTCACGGCGCGATCATGTCTGGGATTATGTCGGGCGCGTCCCCTACATGGGGAATTTTCTACGGAAAAAAAAAACAAATACCCCAAAAGTGCAACAAAAAGGTCAAAAAATAAACAAAAAGTAGTCCCCAGACCATTTTGGCACTACTTTTTTGATTATTGTTGGAGCGTTTCTTCTTTTTCGTCGAAAGTCCTCCTTTAGGGGGACAAGCCCGACTGAAGTCTGGGCCTGTCTCGCTCTCCCCCGACCCCGCAGCGTGGGGGGAGCCTCGGCTCGGACGCCGCCTGCCAGCGGCCGCCCGGCCTCGCGGGGAAGCATCCGCACAAGGTAATTTTGGGGTGCGGGCCGGGCGCCTCGAGCCGGAGTGCAGTGCGGGCGCGGCCGCAGGCTGGGTAGTCGAAGCCAGTCTGGCGCCAATCTGGCAGGCCCAATCTGGCAAACGGGGGCAATCTGGCGAGGGGGCCCACGCGAATCCAGTCTGGCGAACAACCCCAGTCCTCCAGTTTGGCCGGGCCAGATTGGCCCTGGGCCCAATCCAATCTGACAGTCTGGCCTTCGACTACCCAGGCAGGAGACCATCGCAACACGTCCCAACCCTGAAGACCCGCGCGCGAGGTGCACCTGAGGGGAAACCCAGAGCACCCTGAAGGCAGCAGCGTCTTCGACGGCTGCGGGAAGTCACCGCGCGGCGCGCGGAGCGAGGAAACCCAGGATACCCTGACGAAAAGCATGTGGTTTCTTCATGCGCGCCCCCACTGTATGGTGCTGCAGCCTCTCCCGCACTCAGGCCCGCAGGCAGGCAGGCGTGAGCTGGGTCGAGTTCGTATTCGGCCGGCGCTTGCAGAGAAACGCTGCCTATGGGTGGCAAACCTCTTGGTACAGTGGTGTCTTCATTTTTGGCGGAGGTGCTGACTTTGGAGTGGGCGCGCTGGAGGCACTTGTTGTCTGCGATGCTCGGGGTCAGTGCGCAGTAGTACCAGTTGCAGTGGGCTGGTCTTCTTTTCCCTTTGCCATGGCTGTCCGCATGTCGACATTGGCCAACGCTGACAGAACGACATTCCCATACTTTCCTGAGGGGGTTCTCTGGGCGCCTCCGACTGGCGCTCGTCGGCCTCGTTTGCGGCATCTTCGTGCGAGCGAGCGTCCACCTTGTCTTGGAAACTCTTGATATTTTAATTAAAGGGAGGGGGTCTGGACCCTCCAAGACAAGCCATTTCAGACACCCCCCCGTGGGAGAACCCTCCAAAACATCGTCCCCAGACCCCCCAGGCCCTCCAAGATAGCCTGGAAGAGACCCCCCCCGAAATGAGACCCCCCTCCCTTTATTACGAAATCTGGAGTACATCGTCTTCGACTCCCGGCAGCGGTTGTTTTCTCCGGGGGGGCGAGGGGGGCTGGGCAGCGGCAGCGTGCGGGCGAGATGGGGGGCAAGTCGGGGAAGGTCGGGTCGGGCGAAAGGGGGGGATAGCAAAGGGGGGGTTCGAGAATCAGCTAACGTAGCTGATTTTCCTGGCGCCTTCCGGCGCCGGAGGCGGCTATGTATTGAGGAATGGGCCCCTCGGTGAGACCGAAACCAGCTGCGTGCAGCAAATTTCGTAACCCCCCCTTTCCCAATCCCCCCCTTTTGTCCTGCCCGAGAGGGGGGCTGGGCAGCGGCAGCGCGTGGGCGAGATGCGGGGCCAGTCGGGGGAGGGACGAGCTGCGATATCGCCCGTCTGCGCGCGAGCACCCGCGTTGGGGGGAGAGGTCCCCGGACCATCCCAGGGTCGAACCTGACAGCTCCTGGCGCCGCGCCCGGCCGTGGCGACAAGAGATGCCCTCAGAGGCGCTCCCGAGCGCTCCCAGGCGCTCCCAGGCGCTCCCAGGCCCTCCCAGGCGCTCCCATGCGCTCCCAGGCGCTCCCAAAGCGCTCCCATGCGCTCCCAGGCGCTCCCAAGCGCTCCCGAGGCGCTCCCAGGCGCTCCCAGGCGCTACCAGGCGCTCCCGAGCGCTCCCGAGGCGTTCCCAGGCACTCCCAGGCGCTCCCAGGCGCTCCCACGCGCTCCCAGGCGCTTCCAGGCGCTCCCCGGCGCCCGTTTTTCCGTCCTCATTAGACGGTGTCGTTTTCCCGTGTTTTGTCTTCGATCCGCCTCTCACGCAGAGCGAAATCGAAGCGAACACGGCCCACGAACTCGCCCAAACACCGTTCAGGCCCACCCCTGACCCTCGGCCTTCCTTTTCGCCGGGTTCCCGTCGGATGGCGTCGGAATTCCATCGCTCGGACGTCCACTCCCTGCTTTTTTTTGCGGTTTCGCGTGTGGCTTTTCTCGCCAAGTGATCAAGGATGCTCCTCGACGGTTCTCGCCGAGAAGCAATGCACACGTCCGAGCGATGCCAAGGCATCGGCTCCATGCCAACTTTCCGTCGGGGCTGCGCCGGAGCAGCGCCGCCCGGACGCCGCCCCAGATCTCATGGGGCAGGCGCGCGGGCGAGACACTGCAACAGTGAAGGGGCCCTGGGACACACAAATAGATACGCACAAAGGAAAGGATTCCCAACATTCTCCCGTATGTTCTGGGTCTTTGTCTGCCCCCCCCCCACTTCCCATATTTTCCCATATTTTCCCATCGATGTTTTTGTTCCCTCTTCTACGAAGCTGGTGTACATGACTCGCCGTTGACCGCACCATGACTCTCCGCGCACTGTCTTTATACACAAGATCGGAGGTTGGGTGGTGAGTCCGACTTGAAACGGAGACCCCCCCTAACGGGAATTCGACTTCGGTTTCGGGTTCGTGTCGCGCGTGCGGGCGCGCGTGCGGGCGAGGTGAAGCTGCGTGGGAGGGCGAGAGGAAATCCTCCAGTGGCTGGGCCGCGGCCGGACCAAATGTTGCTCCTCCGGCGGCCGGTGCCGCGCGGTGTCCCGCCGGTGTCCCGCTGGTGTCCCAAAATCCTCCCGTGGCTAGGCCACGGCCGGACCAAATGCTGCTCCTCCGGCGGCCGGTGCCGCACGGTGTCCCGCCGGTGTCCCGTGGTGTCCCGAGGTGTCCCGTGGTGTCCCGTTCAATGAGATCGATCGTGAGATCGATAATGAGATCGATACTGAGATCGATGTGGTGCCCCGAGGTGTCCCGTGGTGTCCCGTTGAGTGAGATCGATAGTGAGATCGATACTGAGATCGAGAGGTGTCCCGTGGTGTCCCGTTGAGTGAGATCGATAGTGAGATCGACACTGAGATCGATGTGGTGCCCCGAGGTGTCTCGCGGCGTCCCGCCGGTGTCCCGTGGTGTCCCATTGAGTGAGATCGATAGTGAGATCGATATTGAGATCGATCCTGAGATCGATGTGGTGTCTCGAGGTGTCCTGTGGTGTCCCGTTGAGTGAAGTCCATAGTGAGATCAATAGTGAGATCGACAGGTGTCCCGAGGTGTCCCGTCGATCGTGATATCGATAGTGAGATCGAAGTGAGATCGATGTGGTGTCCCGAGGTGTCCCGTGGTGTACAATGGTGTCCCGCTGAGTGAGATCGATAGTGAGATCGATAATGAGACCGATAATGAGATCGAGAGGTGTCCCGCGGTGTCCCGTGGTGTCCCGTGGTGTCCCGTTGAGACAGATCGATAGTGAGATCGACAACAAGTGTCCCGTTGTGTCCTGTGGTGTCCCGTTGAGTGAGATCGATAGTGAGATCGATTGAGTCAGATGTTGTTTCCCCCCACACAACCTCCTTATCACCCGAAGGGAGGTCGTATAGGGCTATCGTTTTGTTTTTCGGATGTGTTTTGCCAATCCGGTCGTTTCTGGTTCTTCCGAGATGGTGCTCGCGCTGCAGCGCCGCCCCATTTCCGCGCTTCGGTCAGTCAAAATCGTGCTCCCGCTGCAGAGCTGGCCTCGTTCCTGCGCCTCCGAAAGACACTTGGCATCAGCAAGCGCCCACGTCGGGCTGTGGAGGACATGGACAGGCCCTGCCCTCTCGTGGGCGGGCCACTTGCCCTCCAAGTAATCCGTTGCCATGCCACGGCATGCAAGGCGATGCTGTGTTGTGCACCGCTGTGCGATGCCATACGTTGCGCTGCTATGCTTTGTGATGCTCTGCTTCACTGCGCATTGCCACGCCATGCTATGACATGCTGTGCTCTGCCGTCCTCATGATTCTTCTACATCATGATTTTCCATCCGTCGCATACCCTCTTGGGATGATTGCCCTGCTCGATATTCGACTGTGTGAAAAGATAGGAGATCTACACCATGGTAAGGGATGCTAGGGAGGGGTAGGACGTCAGATGCGACGCTAGCGCACGTAGCTTGCCCCTTCCCCCTCCACCTCCACCTCCCCTCCCCCCCCTCCTCCCTCAGCCTTCTCCTTTTGTGCTGCTCCCCCTCCCCCTGAC